CATTCTCACCCACTGGATCGGTACGTAGGCAAAACGACAAAACTATTTCGACGTTGATCCTGTATATCAAGTGCAGAACAGACAGCATGAAACAGAACAAAACTACAGTCTTCGTTTTCGAAAAGTTTGGTGACAATCGGTAGATTTATTGCTGGGCATCGTTTCGTTTTTGACACAAAAGCTTCGTCAGGCCAAGTGACTAGGTTCCCAGGTTGGTCGAGATTTAAGGCGGAAGGAGAACCAATCAGCTAAGTCAAGCTAACTCTCTGTCGGCCGAGGGATTTTAGTGTGTTAGAGTGGTTGAACAAGTGTTGGGTCGGTGGGGAAACCTACATGTGTTTGGGTCCTGCCTAGGGTCTAGTTCTTCTGGTTCGGTTCATTTGATGGTTCCTCTTGAACTTCGTTTGAACCTTCTGTCAGTCTGTGTGGGTGAGCTAGTGCTAAGATAGTTGTGTAAGAGGGATGCTGTGACCTTTCGTCGGGTTGGAATTTCCACCCCCACCCCCTAGTTTTTTCTCATGATTCTACGTGGATTGACAACCACGCCTTTACATGTCAACTCGGTTTACCTAAGACCGCTTTCCATACGATCGCCAGCTCCACACACTGAGTTCCAAGAAGTTTCTCCTGAACTCCCTTTTGTAATGATATGAACCTCCTCTGAGTTCTCGGAATTGTTTCTGGTTTATTCTGGCTCATCTTAGTGTAGCTGTGAGAATTAGAGCTAACCGAACGTTTTCTCAGGTCTGAGATTATGGATACCACGAAGCTTTTAGAAGACAGTCATTAAATTTGTCATAGTACTGCTTTCCGAACCTGCCTTAAACGGATTCGCGGTTATTTTGAATCACTTCTAAATCCGTTAATAAAAATAAAAATAATCGTTCAGCTGTAGCGCCCTTTCGGTGCCTAGCTGCCATGCCACCCGAAGGAAGCACGAGGGCTGGGATACTGTCAGGTTGCCCAAGCCTCTACAGGGGAAGTCGAGTGGCGGAGGGCGGGTTCGAACCACGGACTTTCCGGTCAGTAAATTCGCGCTCTAACCACTTGAGCCATCTCGCCCCCAAAATCCGTTTAACCCTCTACTACTTTTCATTGTGAAGGCAACACACTAGTTGCTGACAGATACACTAGAAAACAACCCTACGTGTGTGAATATTCGTTATTCTTATGTTCACAAACTTCTAAGGTACCCCTTGTGGAGCAGGTGTAGTTGAAAGCACCAAGGAAGACTAAGATTATGGGTCAGAGTGTGGAATTATGGTCGATGCAGCCTCTATCCGATCGACATCTCGCTTGATGCTCACGGATCAAGGTTTAGCATGCCGGTGGAAATCGGCAAAGACTAGTGACACCAGAAGCCTTGTTACAACTGGAGTTGAACTGACGCCTCTGTGGTTAATACACTCCCAGCGAGTACTTCTTTTGAAGATGGGCCATTCTATCAACCGCCCCCCCCCCTCAGTTGTCTGGGTCTCTCCTCCCATATACAAGGAACTCACTGCTGTTTCTGAACAGAGCATGTGGCATGGACAAGGAGCGTGCTAACGCCTAAGTAGGGATAGACGGTCGGGCACTTCTCAGGCCGAACAAAGCCCCATATTTTCATTGCATCTTTCCTTCAATGATTGATAGCCCGTATTAGAAGTAGTAGGTGGCAAGCTGAATCCTGTTCCGCCTAAAGGCTCAAACGCTCATCTTTCCTTGATATCAGATATCGCTGACAGCAGGCTTTCGAGGACCTGTCGAAGAAATCAAGATGAACAATCTACGGGCGTTTTCTTGGGATCCATGAAGACCCGCGCTCTGGTGTCTGAGTTTGGCCAGAGCTGAAATAAAACTTAGCCATTGTCTGCAACGGAAGCCATCCATCTTCTGGACCTTGAATGATCCAACAGCGTTCCCTGCTATCTTTCAGGCTTTTGATTATCCACCGTTTGGGAGACTTGAATGCGCCATCGTAGTCATTAATTTCTGGTGTACCAGCAATAAGATCTGCCAGTTCCGGCTATGTCTAGTGTTCATTTGATCGAGTCGGATGGCTTGTACAGTCTGAGGTAAAAGTTGATAGCGTAGCTGTTTTCACTCTCTTCTATCCATTCTCTAACCCATCTTTGCCATCAGTGTCACTGTACTTCCAGCGGTTCTCCAACGTGGTCAGCTCGATATTATTATTGAGCTGAAGTTGATAAACGAAATCGCCCTGCTGACAGAAAACGAAATGATAATTGCCCCCCCCTCATCACTATGGCATGATATGAATCAAGTTGTGTAACCCAGAAGGAACGGTCACCTTTAATTGAGGCCCCATCGGTAACTGTTAGCCATATGAACCAACCGAATGCATATCTGGCTTGAGCTTGTTGACCTTCAAGTAACTGGATGTGAGCGCTAATGATAAACGTTCTTAATGGCCAGAAGCAGATGTTCAGCACACTGAGCATCGATCTTAAGTGTACCATCCAACTCTGCTTCATTGGAGCAGGTTCGCCCAAATTGTGCGTTCATGTTACCCGACAGGATGGTAATACCCGTTATTCCTTTTAACCGAAACAAATTCGATAAAACCCATCCTTCCTAGCATTTGAACTGCAGTCTATCGGGCCGATACGATAAATAGTCACGGTTTGCCTGCACTGGCCTTGATTGAACCGGACAACTGCACAGCGCAGCAAGGTCTGTTTACTTGGATTCAATCCAGTAAAGTACTTCCAGTCTTAGGGTTGGGTTCCCACACCTGAAGATGCCACAAGCCGTTGCATCAAGATCGTCAAAGAGTGAAATGTAGAACATCCGATCTCACTTTAAATGACTTGGAATGCTTGAACGAACTGGGGTATTGTAAGCGTGTTTTGGAAGGGGAAGCAAGGTCTCACAGAGAGACGTCTGTTGTCCGATTGAAACGAGAGTACAGACACTGAAATCTTTTGCTTTTAGTAAAGGGTTATTTCGGTTTTGTTGGTCGGTAGTTTGAAAACCGAGCAATCGTTAGTTGACTGTTAAATGGATTGATCGCATAACACCATTGGATGGACGGTGAGAGGGTGTAAGTGAGGGGCGATGAGGAGAGAGCTCCAAGGTCTAATGGCACTTCCTGGTTGCCCATGCCGACGAAGGATGTTTGGTTTGCATTCTCCGTTTTGATACTTTAACTGAAAATCTGATGTAAAAGTGTATGGGAGAATGTAGGGATCCGGTTCCCCATCTGAATAGTAGCCCTTGACTCAAGAGTCATCCACACGACGGCGGGTAGTGGGCTCTTGTTGAGAACCCTGCTCCAGGCCAGTTAACCAATAACCTGGGCTGCATGGGTTCGGTTTAACCAGGGGCGCAAGGAGTAAGCCACAGGTGTCTCACTCCTGGTGTCACCTCACACAGCAGATGCCTTTGGAGCCGATTTCAAACGTATTTCGACCGTATTGGACAGTCACGGTCAACCAATGAGTGATCGGATTTTTCGGTTTTTAGGGCCGACATTTCCCAGTCCACCGTTTCTCTTGGGAAGGTAGCATCGCTACTGACCGCCTAAGAAAAAGCCTTACTTTTCTTCCACTCCCATAGAGAAGGCAGTGCGACTTCACCACCAGACTACATCGTATGGCGGTCATTCTTAGTACGTCGACTCGCTGCTCTTCGTCCTTGCCACTAAGGTGCACAGTTGAAAGCAGGCCAGTCAACTCGATTACCGTACTTGTATTTTGGATTCTTGCTTCCGACGGACCACATACGTCAATACGTCGAGCTAAGATGGTTCAGTGGTTAGGGTGCGAACTTACTGACCAGTAGGTCCGTGGTTCCGACCCAACCCCTGCATCTCGACTGCTCCTGTCTAGGCTTGGGCAACCGGATAGTATCTCAGCCCCCGTGCTTCCTTCGGATAGCACGCAGCTAGCCACCAAAAGTGTACCACAGCTGAACCCTACCTACTTTGGGGAATCAGCGTACGAGCAAGAGCAGCTTGCTCCGCTTGATCCAGAGTGTGAACACTAAAGGTGGACTTCTACACAAGATTTTGGAGCATGGAAGTCTAATTTGAGTTGCCGAAGGCGAGCAAAGCTGTCAATTGACTACAGGGTCCATGGTTCCAACCCGACCCCTGCATCTTGACTGCTCCTTTCTAGGCCTGGGCTACCTGATAGTGTCTCAGCCTTCGGATAGCACGCAGCTAGCCACAAAAAGTGTACCACAGCTGAAGCCTACCTACTTTGGGAAATCAGCTCACGAGCAAGAGCAGCTTGTTCCGCTTGATCCAGAGTGTGAACACTAAAGGTGGACTTCTACACAAGATTTTGGAGCATGGAAGGCTAATTTGAGTTGCCGAAGGCGAGCAAAACTGTCAATTTGTT